TTCTTGTCACCATAGTAACAATGATGGTATGGATCTAAAATGAGGTGCCTGCTAAGCAGAACTTGCTAGATCAGGTCTTTAAGGAAGCGCCCCCCTCCCTCCCCGCCCCAGTTGAGATTTTAGACCTGTTCAGATCCTAAATATCAGAGATATTTGGCCCCAGAAACTCACAACAGTATCAATTATCCTTTTCATTGTGATCGCTCCTTTTTGCTACTAAAAGTCAGCATTCCAAATGTGACATTTGTGTGTGCGTTAGGAAATGAAATAAAATCAGTGGTCCATTTAACTAACACTTGCTGTAAATATTCGGTGATTCCCAAGTGGCAAAGGGAGGATGTGAGAAGGAAGAGGAGGAGCTGGGGGTGGGGGGGCGGGCAGAGGAGGAAACCTGACTGAGATCCTGTGGTTGGACCCCATTCAAGCTGCCACGGTCTGAGGCGTCCACATGTTAAAGGGGACAAGACTCCCCAAGGCTTCAGAACCTCTTGATTATTGTGTATGCCCAAACACAGAATAGCATAGCACACATTTATCCTAGTTCAGACCCTCCGATGAAACAGCTCAGGTCGGCATCTTCTGGGCCAGGTTGGGTGTGACGTTGCTTATGGAATTCGGGGAACAGACTCATCAAAGGTTGGCCCTTTGACTCAAAAAAAAAAAGACCTAAGATTCAGTACTGCTAAATGTGCTGAAGAACACGTTTTCATGTGTAAGTTTTATTATTACTCAGATACAGTGAGGCTGGCACATCAGGGGTAGAGGAAGGAAGACGGCCATTGGAAAGATAGTTTGCTGCTCACGGTTCCCAAGACGGGGGAGCAGGCCACACCAGACAGGGCTGCAGGGCCGCACAGGGAGAGCCAGCGCTGGTCAGGAGGCAGAGGGAGTGGGGGGGGGGGGGGTGGGGGGGGAAGAGCCTTTGTTTTGTGGTTTCTCCAGGAAGGAATGGGTGAGGCAGGGTAAGCAGGTTTAGCACTGGCTACTTGGAATAATTTCACTGGGCTTTGGGGCCTGGGGGCTGTCCAGAGTTGTCTGGCCCTGGCCCTGGGGTGATTAGGGCAGGAGCTTAGTGCCCTGGGGTGTGAGCACTCCACAGAGGAGCAGGAAGGGTGTGTGAGTGTGGATTGGTCTGAAAGGTGAGCTCGCATATCTAGGAACTGGTCAACCCCAGGAGGGGCTGTCCCTCCAGAGCCACCAAGGTCCCAGAAGTCTGAGCACCAAAAACCCTTGGTTAATACAGAGCCAGGCTTGGAATTGTCTGCGGAGACCCTGTCAAATCTACAAGAAAGCCTTCAGTTCCCTGGGTTTACCCAGAGACCCGGAATTTTCTTTGTGAACCAAGTCTTGAAGGAAGCACCCCCCCCCCCCCCCAATTCCCCGCACTGGTAGTTAAAGAAATGCAACATCGCCACCTACTGCCAGAAAGGAGGATCTCTCCTGAAAATCAAAAGGAACAGAACTGGTTTAAAAAAAAAAAAAAATCCCTACTTTGTACCCAAACCATCAGTGTTTCCTGCTTCCCCAGAAGTTTCTTCTCCCTGTGCTCCCGCAGTTGGCCCTGAGCCTGGATTGAGATGTCCGAGGTCTGTTTTTCTCTGGGCATTTTGACTCGCAAGGCTTCCCTAGCCCAGATGGCAAGTTCAGGATGAGTCAAATATCCAGGGTTACGGAATAATAATATGACAGGCCCGGGGCTCACAGTGCTTTCCAGGCTGTTTCTCGGTGATAAAGGTTAACAGGAAGCTGCTTTCCAGTTTCTGTCAAGAGGAGGTGGTTTATTTTCCTCATCTCAGAGTATATTGTTATTTCCTCTGCCTTCCTGCCCCTTGTACAGCCAGACAGCGGAGAACTCGGCGCAAACGAATGCTGTCGCAGAGAACAGGATTGGCCCTCTCCTCTCCACTTTCCGTTGCTAGAGAGAGCCGGGTGGGGGGGAGCATTGTGTTTTTCTCATACACTCTTGAGAAAATTGTCGGGGTGAGGGGGGCAGTTAGTGAATGTCTTCACTTCTTAGTTCTCAAGAATTAAAAGCAATAAAGACAGAAGGCATTTTGTCGGAAATTACATTCTTTCAGACCCCATAGATTTAGACTCACAATTATTACGGCAGGTCTAAGGTCACTCACTGTCAGACTCAAGAAACCTCTGTCTTGTTCTGACTTTAAGATTTAAGGTGATCAGCAGCTTGCTTGTACAACTTCCCATGTTGTCAGTGAGCAAAGGGCAGAGGGGCAAGGCCTGGGGTGGAATGTCAGTGCCCCCCGGGGGCGGGGGGTGGATTTCCGGACGCCCAGGAATTGGTTATTTCTGAGGGCCTTCATTGTTCACTGCCCAGCTCACTGTCCCGTCCTGGAAACTCCACTCATCTGCGAGTGGGGAGAAGTGAACTTGAAAGCAGGGTCTTTGGCCCACACTTACTTACTAAGCCCCTGTGTGTGTGCCAGGCGCTGTATTAGTGCTGGAGATACAAAAAAAAAAAAAAAAAACACGAGTGGGACTGGGGCCTGGCTCTCCAGGAGGCAGTAGTAGCCTAGAAAGAAGACGCCCGAGGGAACAGAAAAGTATGGCCTGTGGCAGCACCACGAGCAGAGGTGGAGCCCTTCCCCGAGGGCATCTGCGGAGTCCCTGAAAACAAGGTGTTCTGGAGTGAGGGCAGAAGGGAGCAGGGGTGGGTTGGGGTGTGGAGGGCGGTGCTTTCTGGGGTGAGAGTGGGTAGCTTGAACAAAACAAGCTTCTTCTGTAACGTGCCATGCCTGCAAATTGGCCTCCCTCCCTTCCTCCCCTCTCCCTTTCCTTCCTTCCTTCCTTTCTTCTAATTTTGCTGTTGACCCTTCACAACAAATGTGGATTTTTTTTTTTTATTAAATCAAATTTAACTTATTTTGCTTTAAGACCTAGAGTTTGTGGGACGCCTGAGGGGCTCAATCAGTTGAACGCCCAGACTCTTGATGTCGGCTCCGGTCATGATCCGGGGGTCGTGGGATCGAGCCCCGACATCGGGCTCTGTGCTCAGTGTGGAGCCTGCTTGGGATTCTGTCTGTCTCTCCCTCTGCCCCTCTCCCCTGCTTGCACGCATGTGCTCTCTCTCTGAAATAAAAATAAATAAAATAAAACAAAACAAAATAAAATAAATAAAAATAAATAAAATTTAAGAAAGACTTAGAGTTTGCTGCTTCATTACAAGTCTCCGCTAGTGGAGAAGCGAAAGTTTGCCTTCCTCCCAGGCCGCAGCAGACCCTTCGCCGAGACCTCCATGACCTCAAATAACCTGCTCCAAAAGCAGGAGGCAAGGTGCTTTCTTTTTTTTCCTCTTCTTCTCTTTTTTTTTTTCTTTCAGGGAGAGAGCAGGTGGTAGAGACCCACCAGCCTACTCATTCCCAGGCTTTGCAAGAATGGGGGCCATACTGTCCTCTCCAAACATTTTATAGACTCTCACTTGGTGGTCATCGTGTTAATACTGATAGAACGTATCCGCTAATATCAGAAGTTACTCTGGAATCACTCACAAACCAAAGTGATCGGCCTGGTGTTAATCATGGCAGCCTCTGCACGTGTTGGAAAAATGGTAGAAGGCATTATTAGTCTACAGACAAGAGGTTGCCAACTGGTGGGCTGTGGGCTCATCCTTGCCTAGGGATGGGTTTTGTTTGCCTCGTTCGGTGTTGGTTTGTTCTTTTGGCTGTTGTGGGAATCTGGAGGAGTTTCCAGCATCTGACCACGGTAGACTTCTTGGGTGGAGAACCGCTGACTGGGTCCTGCTATCTTCCATCACAGTCTGGAACACAGAAGCCCAGAGAAATTATGGGATCTGCCCTAAATCTTACAGTGCTGGGCCCAGGTCACTGGTCTCTTGATTTCCTCCCCAGGTTTCTTTCCATCACATTGTAACGCTGTTCTCGAACTTAGCACTTGTCTTCTCCTTTTGTCTTCTGCCATCTCGGGGTAGCCCCTGTTTCCAGGAGGCAAGGATCCAGTGCCCCACAGGAGCGGTCACCCCCACGCGGGGCCTGTTCCCCTGCAAGGCTCTGCATTCTGTCCCCCGCCTCCGTGACCACAACAGCTATTCCCTGCACGCAGCTGGTCCTGAGACAAATACAAGTGCCTTATCTAATTAAGTAATTTAATGCACTCCAAAGTCGATGTGTAAAGGTGTAGTAAATGTATAAATAATTTCAGCATGTTTCATCGTGAAAAAAATCTATAAGCTTCATCTGGATAAAAATTCAATCTCATTTGGCTTAATGTGCATTAACATCAGAGTGTTCCCAACCCTTGCCTCAGCTCTCGGGATACACAGAAATCAAACCACACCTCACCGCCTTTGGGGAGACATAGTGTAACCATTTCAGAGAGAAGTAGGGCCCCCCTTCTTCAACTGAGCAGAAGAAATTATCTTTAAGAAATCCAACTCAACAATGATTAGCACAAAAAAAAATAATATATTGAAAACAAATAATATTTTTTAATTGATTTTTAAAAATTATTTGAGAGAGAGAGATCGCACGGAGGGGAGAGGGGCAGGCAGGTAGAGGGAGAGAGAGAGAATTATAAGCAGATTCCACGCTCAGTGTGGAGCCCGATGCAGAGCTCAGTCCCATGACCCTGGGATCATGACCTGAACCGAAATCAAGAGTCAGATGCTCAACCGACTGAGCCACCCAGGTGCCCTGAAAACAAACAATATTATTTAAAAAATTGGAAGGCGGGTCAGGAAAAAGAAAGTAGATGGTCAGATTTAATCCGTACTCTCGGAAGCTGCTGGCTGTCCCAGGTCCTTGAACCATGGTGAAGGTTGGCAGACATAGCTGTCCTAATGTGCTAGAAGGGGGCTTGAAACACTCTGCTTTCTTTCAGAAAGGAACCATGGGAAAACTGATCACACCTTTTTCTTTTCCATAGGGATTGGGAGTTCTGGTCCTCACATCCAATCCTGTAGCTCAGAAAACAGTCGATCTCAGTTGCTGCTTCTGTGGTTCACTTGCAGTCTTGTCTTTCAGGTTCTACATAGAAAGCATCTCGTACCTAAAGGATAATGCCACCATTGAGCTCTTCTTCCTGAATGCTAAGTCCTGTATCTACAAGGTAAGAACTTTTTCTTCCCATTCAGCTTTCCCCTGAAATCTGAGAGTAGCGTTTGGAGCTGGCCATCCCAAGTCGCTGCCCCGATGTGATTGTATTGATTAGTAGACATAATTTATAAGTGAATTAGTATAAGTAAATGAGAACGTCATGGAAGTAATACTATCTGTTTAATAATGGGACTCGTCCGGATCCTGTCACTCTTTGGCTCCTCGGAGGTGTGCCTTCGTCCCTCAACCTGGCGACTGAGACAAAGGGGAGACGTGGACAGGGAGGGCAGATGCCCAGGGTCCACGCGGATTGGTCTCCGAAGGATGAGTGGGCTGCTTATAACCAAATGCATGCATATTGACCGTTTTTAGATGTTCTGGCAACATCTCTCAGTGATGCAATTTGCATCAATCGGCACTTTAGGCTGGACAGATTTTTTTTTAAGGATGCTAAAATACACATAAAATTTATCATTGTAATTACTGGTAAGTATACAGTTCAGTGATATTAAGTCCACTTACAGTGCCGTGCAACCATCGCCTCCATCCGTCTCCAGAACTCTTTGTATCTTGCAAAACTGAAACACCGTCCCCACTAAACGCTCACTCCCTGATCTACCCATCCCCCCAGCCCCTGGCCATCACCATCCTACTTTCTGTCTCTATGAATTGGACTACTCTAGGGACGTCACATAAGAGGATCCTATAGTGTTTGTTTTCCTGTGACTGGTGCATTTCACTCAGCAGTAGGACCTCAAGGTTTATCCACGTTATAGTACAGGTCAGAAGTCCCTTTTTTCCTAAGGCTGAATAATATTCCGTTGTACGTATAGACCACATATTCTTCATCCATTCATCCGTCAATGGACACTTGGGTTGCTTACACCTTTGGGCTATTGTGTTTAATGCTGCTGTGAACATGGGCCTGTAAATATCTCTTCAAGTCCCTGCTTTTAGTTTTTTCGGGTGTGTACCCAAAAGTGGAACTGCTGGACCATATGGCCATTGTACGTTTCATTTTTTGAGGAGCTGCCATATTGTTTTCCACAGTGACAGCCCCATTTGTACTCCCACCGACATTGCATAAAGGTCCCAGTTTCTCCACTTCCTCACCAACACTTGTTATTTTGTGGGGGGTTTTTAATAATAGCCACCCTGCTGGGTGTTAGCCAGTATCTCATTGTCATTTTGATTTGCATTTCCCTAATGATTCCCTAAAGATGCTGAGCATCTTTTCAGATGCTTGTTGGCCATTTGTACATCTTCTTTAGAAACATGGCTATTCAAGGGACAATTCTTTCTTTGTGATACTGTTTTCTAATTTTTTTTTAAGTTTATTTGTTCTTGAGAGAGACAGAGCATGAGCGGGGGAGGGGCAGAGAGAGAGGGGGAGACACAGAATCCGAAGCGGGCTCCGGGCTCCGAGCTGTCAGCACGGAGCCCAATGCAGGGCTCGAACCCACGAACCGTGAGATCATGACCTGAGCCGAAGTCGGATGCTTAACCAACTGAGCCACCCAGGCGCCAGTCAGGAGACAGTTCTTAACTGGGTAGGACAGTCCCTCGCCCTGCATCAAGTTCACATGCTTGTAGTGTTTCCTTTCATTGGATAACCCAAAATGCCCACACACATTTCTAGCACACACACCCTCCCTCGGGAAGGAGGCTTGCAGAACACCTTGAGAGCCTCTCCTGGGAGAACGTATTTGAACACCCACACTGGTGCTCATCAAGGAAGCCTTCAGGGCACCACCTCAGGCCAGCTCATTAACCACCACAGAGAAAGCTGATATTTAAGAATATCGCACCGTGGCATGCTGGGTGCTGAGGGCTTTCTGTAAGTTGTGCGGCTGAACCTTCACAACACTTTGAGGCGAATACTACTTTCTATCCAGGTTTTCCCTGTGAGGAAGGTGAGGCATAGGGAAGTTAGGAGATTCGCCCGAGGTCGCATATCTGCCAAATGGCAACATTGGCTGGGGGGCCCGAAGCTGGCAGCCTGACTCCAGATCGTGGGGCTCAACCGCTGGGCTGCCCTGAGCCCCAGAGGGCAGGCTCTCCCGGGAGTGGAGAATGCCCTGGCAGCCACAGAGAACTTCAAAGCTAAGAGCACTCACCGTAAAGTGCTCAGTGGCTGTCCTCAGAGAAGTCTGAGGAGATCCTATTGCCTGTGTTTTCGTGTCTAACCAAACCCTATCTGGGGGGATTGCAACAACTCGCTGAACATTAAAACACACACACACACACACACACACACACACACACACACACACACACACACAAGTTGGATTGGTATATCAGCCATCCGTTTTTCTTCTAGAAATACGTCAGCAGGTTCGTTGCACAGAATAGTCCCTCTAAATGCAGGTGTCCACAGTGATGGAGGGCCTGGTAAGGATCAAACTGAGTCGTGTGAGAGGACCTCACTTGGTGACAGTTGCTGAGCCAGGACTTAAACTGGCTCAAGCCCAGACTGCTCAGACTACAGTATTTGGGGGTTTCACCGAATGGAGGAAAAAGACAGGAACCGCAGGTCCAGGAACTTGCAAATTCCTTCCTTTCTCTAAGCCCGTTTTCTCATTAAAGCGTGGAAATAATAATACCGGCCTCAGGTAGCTTACAGACTGAGAGTCTCTGAGGGTTTTTGTTTAATGAACGGGAAGACCCTTGGAGAAAGTTCAGGAATACAAAGTTGAGCATCGTCCACCAGGTGGCACCCTGGGGCAGTGAATGTCTGGAAGCACCAGTCCCCGGAACTGATTTCCTCATTTCAACCCGGCGGGGAAAATTGGCCCCAGATCGTGCTTGTACAGACACCTGGGTAAAGGTGAACAAGTTTCTCTCTCGGAGGTGTTCCATTCAGTCCAGATACAGATGCTTAGCTGGAGCGGAAGGCTGCAGTGCTTATGAATACCATGCTGCTCGAAGACTCTGGGATCAATGGAAAATAGAACAGGAGACCAAATCCCCAGGTTCTCCCGGTGGGGGTAACAGTGCAGCCACGTTTGGGGCCAAGGCACCCGCAGCGTCCCCCAGCCTATCGCCTGGGCGGCTCTCTGCCATCCAGAACCCCAGCTGTCTCTTCTCAGGATCTGGACTGGAGCCTGGCTTCCCTGAAGTTTCTATCAGAGACCAAGTAGGGTCACAAGACCGCCTGTCTCCCTCCCGTCCATCAGAAATCATATTTTCGTTTGCAGAAATTGGCACTTCGGGCTTATTTATTTGATTATTTTTTTAATGTTTATTTATTCTTGAGACAGAGACAGCGTGAACAGGGGAGGGGGAGAGAGAGAGGGAGACACAGAATCTGAGGCAGGCTCCAGGCTCCGAGCTGTCAGCACAGCACCCGTCGCGGGGCTCGAACCCACGAACCGTGAGATCATGACCTGAGCCAGTCACACGCTTAACCGACTGAGCCACCCAGGCGCCCCCACTTCGGGCTTATTTGAAATGTTCACACGTATCATCTTGTGTGAGCCTCCTGGGTGAGACAAAGCCAGAATCTTTAGCTTTCCAGAGAAAGAAACTGATGTCCGGGAGGTTAAGCGACTTACTCAAGGACCAAGGACCATAAGTGGTGGAACAGACAGGACGGCCAGTTTTGCACACTTGTAACTATGCAAACGCGGGGGGAAGGCCCCGCACAGAGTGTCATTGGGAGTTGCGATCTGGAGCCCCGCACGCCTGGGTTCCTGTCCTAGCTGTGCCCCGCAGTGAATGCAGTGAACGTGCGCGCCTTCTGTGGCATCCCCAGGCTGAATATCTCCTCTTTGGTTGAACAAGGACATTAAAGGCCCCGACCCACCCCCTTGTTGGGAAGCCGAAGCAAGACGAAGCGGGAGTGTAGTTGGTTAGCACTGGGCCAGGCACGTGATGAGCTAGCTCCCACTGTGGTAGCACTGTTCACTTGAACCCAGACGCGGGTTGTTCATCTTGGCTGAGAGTTTCTGTGTGCCCCTCGACGCTGCCTCTGGCACTTTGGAGGCCTGGAGGAGCCCGGAGGGCAGTGCCAGATGCTGATAGACATAGTGCGATGCTGATAGACGGGGGCTTCGGTTTACCCAGCGCAAGATTGGTATTACCTCCCTCCCTGTTTCTTAGGGAATGATCCCTGCAGGGTACCAGAAATCTCAGTTGTTCAGATAAATAAACCTGGAGCCTGCCTTGGATTCTGTCCTCTCTCTCTCTCTCTCTCTCTCTCTCTCTCTCTCTGCCCCTCCCCCACTCACATTCTGTCTCTGTCTCTCAAGAAAT